AACAGTCTAGATTAGAGCTCGGCCATAGTTGTTTATTTCGTGCCGATACGGTCTAATCTATTTACATGACGTACGACCCATAGGGCCTTAACCAGATGCTACACAGGGTGTATAAAAAAAAAAGTAGACAATTGTTAAAATGTCCATAAACTGAAAATTTTGCAAAATGTCTGAAGAACGTGTGTTGATATAGGTATTTTAGGGTCTCTTGACCACGTTAACACTCAAATTAAATAAAAAAAATTGTATCGACGTGTAGGAATGACTATTTTCAAACACCACCTAAAACAACCCTCGCGCACAAAAATGGACGGTTTAAATCTTGATTCATTATCATAGGTTGAAAGTTTGGCTAATGTTTTATAAACTATCGAAGTTCCTGACAATTTGGTGTACATTAAATCCGCCGGGCGGCCTCTCGAACTTGGACTTTTTTGCTATTTTTTGGCCTTTCCACATACTTTTCGTTTCACGCGGTAATAATTCATGCATTATTGATATTTTACATGAATAAGTGGCCAAGCGATTTGTTAATTTAAAAAAGCTAGAATTAATTACACCTGAGAGCATTCTAGCCTAGCGAAAATCCTAAATACCCGTCTTTGAATTTTAAATAAGCATTTAGCTGCTTTTTCACTTGCTTTTCGTTTTAAAACAATCGAAAATGGCGAGGCCACAGTACACACCATTGGGACAAGCTGCAATTTGAACCGGCAAATATCTGGACGTAAGAGAACAGCAAGAACAGAAGAGAATATCGAGGCTGTTCGAAACGTTATTGAAAATCTGCAGCGGGATGGGCAGTTAGTTAGCGCCCGTCGCAATAGTGTTGGTTTGTCCTCTTCCACATTTAACCGCATAACGCGATTAGATTTGTGATTTCATCCTTACCAAATGATAAAGCGCAATCAGTTACTTCCTGGTGACTACCAACGAAGAGAACAGTTTTGTCAGTGGCTTATCGACCAGCCGGAGCGATTGCTCGACGACGTGGTTATTGGAGACGAGGCTGGTTTTGCGATGAATGCATCTGTGAACACCCACAACATCAGAGCATACGCTCAACGAGGGGAACAACCCCTGGATTTCGAATATCAACGCAATGACGATAGACACAAAGTAAATGTCTGGGTTGGCTTAATGGGTAACGGAAGCATCATTGGCCCTTTCTTTTTTCGACAAAATTTAGACGGTGAGAATTACCTGCAAATGATTAACGAGCAAGTAGTCCCTACCTTACGACGAATACGTCGTTTCCGTCAGAACATGAATGGTCAGTTTCGGCGTGTTTGGTGGATACAAGATGGTGCGCCATGTCACAGGAGACGAATCGTTTCCGAGCGTTTGGGCGAACTGTTTGGAGACCGAGTTGTTGCGTTAAATCGCGATGTTGAATGGCCACCGAGATCACCGGATTTAACTCCACTGGACTTTTTTGTGGGGTTACCTCAAATCCAAGGTGTAGGTCACACCACCAGCAAATCTGGATAACATCGAAATGAGTATTCGAGCTGAGATCGATGCCCTCAGACAGGACAGACCAAAGGTTCGACGTGCTGTTTACGACATGTTCAGGAGAGCAGAACTTTGTGTGGAAAGAGATGGAGGGCATATTGAGGATTAAAAGAACGTTGACTGTAAATAAAAAATGCCGCTCTGTTTTGCCTTTACGTTTCGTCCTTTCATGTAAATTATTAATTAAATTTGATCTTAATACCATTTATGGTTGACAATAGGGAAAAAATAGCATTGTTGTCTCAAACACACAAAAATTAATCATGCGTGAAATAATTTGTGAGCTGCAAAAAGTATGTGGGAAAGGCCAAAATAGCAAAAAAGTCCAAGTTCGAGAGGCCGCGTGGCGGATTTAATGTACACTAAATTGTCTGGAACTTTGATAGTTAATAAAAACATTACCCAAACTTTCACCGAATGATAATGAATTAAGAGGCGATGTCAGTAAAAATCAGACACTCGCGGCAAAGCTGGAAAAATAGATTTGGCTCATATTTTCACTATTGGTAGACCATGAGGTAACATAATATAAAATGTATTTAGTTTTGAAAATTTTCGCTTTGTTAAGAAAAAAATTGCGGAAAGCGTTTTTTTGGTCGGATCGGCCTTTTAAGCGGCTAAATTTTTCATCAACTTTGTCCACTTCGTCCGTCAACGCTAAATCACCTGTCGACCCCGAATTTTTATGAAAATTTCTTCATTGTTTTAAGTTATGTATTGTTTTAAGTTATGTTCAAACGTATTTATAGATACTTAGAACTTATTTAAATTTTTCAACGAATTATTTCTGAAGCATATGAATTCAATTAAGAAAAACTGGGCGAAAAGAACGGTCATTTTTGTGGGTAGCCGCTGCGCATGCGCTAACCACTATGTCAGAGTCAAAAGTGTCCGCGTAACATGGAGGGATCTTCGGCACTCGTCGGTAATCACTCGGACAGATTGGCGCTGAAGGAAACACTCGAAACATTTCCGACGTTTAGTCAGATTTTATTCGAAGGGCTGCTTTGAGTTTTGGCAAATTTCTGTATAAAAGTCAAGGTAAAATCAACGTTGCATTATTTGTGTCAATATTTGTCATTTCAATCGCTCATTTGTCCACTGCCGAGCAATTTTGATCACAACCGGATTATACGAGCGTACAAATCTTTAATACTGCGTGGCTTGTTTGCAAGTTTCATTGATAATATCTTATCACTGTGGTAATCAGTCCTACAATCAGTCAACATTGAATGCCATCATTCATCATTGATATAAACGTGTATTGCTTCAGTAGTAGTTACCAGGAAGGTATGTCCTAGGAACTAGATTTTCCTCCACATTATTTGAAAGCAATGAATTTGAATGGCACATTATTTGAATGGCACATAAACATTGTGATAGTATATAATTTGAACATACCATAAGCACAATTCATTTGAACATACCATAAGCACAAAACACCTCTCATGGAAATCAGCAAATGTTGAATGAGACAAGTGTGCCTAAATAAAGTTTTCTATCTTCTATCTAACTAAATTATATACCATCACAATGTTTATGTGCCATTATTACTGAGACTCTCAAATGATGTATCGGTAGAGGAAAATCCAGGTCCTAGGACATACCTTCCTGGTAACTACTACTCATTAATGCACATTTATATCAATGATGAATGATGGTGTTCAATGTTGCAATTGACTGATTGTTGTACTGATTAACACAGTGATAAGATATTGTCAATGAAACTTGCAAACATGCAAGCCTCGCAGTCTTATTGGACCTAGGAACCAGTGCTATTATCTCCACGCTGATAAGTTATCTGTAATCAACATTGCAAACCACCTGTACCTTCCTTCTGGATCTATGAAATCACACTATCATCTTAGTTATAATGGTGATAACAGATTGTTGTCAATAAACTTTGGCAAACAAGCCTTATAATCTTACTGGAGCAATAACCATTCTAACATTTATTAACTTATATAAATATAACATTCATTGATCAACAAAATAACCAATGTTGTATGTAACAAAGACATGTTGATAATCAAGGAACATCAAAACAAAATAATTTGAAAACGTCTGAAATCTTCTTTCTCTACTTTTAAACTAAGCTTTATGTTATCAGAGGATTCGTGCCACCATTCTGGAACCTTACTCTCTTTTTTGTTCTCTCCAACTATTCTGCTCAAAAATATGCATTTCCTATCTCTTGTAAATCTGCTTTTATATATGTTTTAATCTGTCGTAAAATGTATTTAATACAATAAGATATTATAATATATAGATTGTGTAATAAAATCGACTTTCTTATAACTGTATTCAACTAGCTAACTATAGGGCATTTTTGCCGTTTTGTTTGGCATTAGAATGTAAGAGTAAAGGGCATGTTACAAGGTGCAATTTTTCTTGCAACTTGCAATGCAATTCTACTTTTAAAGAGATGTAAATTAGTGAAGAGGCTTCAAAATGTAAGTTTAAGAAACGCCATGGAGTGTAATAAAGACAAAAGTTCGGTAGTTGCCAAATTTAAATCTCTCAAAAGATGAATTTTATTGCAAGTTGCAAGAAAAATTGCACCGTCTATGAGGTGCCAAACATGACAATATTATACTGCTAAAATATTTACGGCTACTCAAACAACGCTATATTAAAACACCATTATTTATAGCTAAAAATATATTTACAGCTATCAAAAATATATTTACGGCTATCAAAAATATATTTACGGCTATCAAAAATATATTTACGGCTATCAAAAAAATATTTACGGCTATTATTGAGCCAGCTTTTTGGCTCAGCGGATTACCTGTCAATCAATTTCAATCTGTCAATCAATCAATAAATCCATTTGATCCATGTGCAAAGGGGAAATCTGTAAATCTAATTAAAAAACATGGCGGGTCGATCTGACAATTTAGAAAATTTAGTGAGACAAGTTGTAAACCATCCCAGTTTTCAAGACGCCGTAAACAGTATTAGTTCAACAAGCAGTGAAACAAGCCCTCATGTAAATAGAAGCGAATCTAATCCTGCTCCATTGGAAGTTATACCTCGCGTGTCTGTTGATAATCAGAATAGCGAAAATGGCAGCAGACGCACGCCGCGTGAAGAATTCCAATCGTTGTTTCGCAGAGCCGGGTCCTCCTTTCAGCAAAGCCCTGACCTTCCTCACTTCCAGCGAAGAACGAATTGGGGCCCCTCGCCCTCGCCCCGATCTCGAAGTAGGGAAAAGCCATACAGCAGCAACAGCAAGGGTAAGAACGTGAAGAACACGGGTAAGAAAACAACATTTACCCGCGAAGTTGTGCTTCTTCGTCGCCCATGCGATTCGATGGTTCGAGGTGCGGCTAAAGCAGAGCTTCAACGCCTGGGACATGTTTTGAACGCCTTTGAATTTGATAAGTTATGGACTGCGGATGAAGTGGTTAAGAAACTAGAAGAGGCTTTCGAGAGGCATTTGAATTGCATGATATAAACGTGGATAATAAGTCGAAGTAAGTAGCTTTCAAAATTTAAGCTTTAGTTGCAAATCTGCAAATTCATTTGAAATTTAAATATTATGCGTACATGAGTGAATGACTATGTGAACTACTTCATGTCTGTCTTTGTCTGGGAAATATATATTAAACATTGCTAGCTCCGGACATGAGAAAATTGACAACTAATGCACTATGAAAACCAGTCAGGCCACCCAAATAGGTAGGGTATTTTTTGAGGTTTGCATGGGTGTGCAAGGTAAAGTTTGAGTTGTGCAAAAAAATCAAGATATAAAACAGGCCTTCTCTCAAGAGTGATTGTTTTTAATTTTTATGGCATGCAAACATAAAAAATACCATCTGAAAGTGCAGTTCAAGTCGAAATTAATTGCTAAACACACTAATTAAGAGGATTCTTCCAGGTTCAAGATAATGATGGGCATAGGAAATGAATTAGTTGAACCACAGTTAACATCAGACCAAACTTTGACTGGTGAAATGCTTAACAGAATATTTACTCAAAGAACCATTTGGCTGCTTCCATGTGTGCCTTTAACAACTTATGATGATGATGATGATGATGATGATGATGATGATGATGATGAGGTATTGTACTTATTCCCAGCTACTAAGATTAAATTATTTTTAAGTTTGTTTTATGCAATTATTTCTGAGTATGGGTACTAATAGGAATATAAAATGCTTATCAAAGATGACTACAATGTGTAACTATTATGTAACTTATCATTGATAGCCAAACTTGTTTGGTGTGATAGGGTTAAAATTGCTATAATTATAGTGTATGCAATGCAGAACTGAAAAAGTAGAGGCAATTAAAGTTGCAAAACTGAAATTGTATGTGACAAAAAGGCCTTTTTATTTTGTTGACATGTATCTACAAAAGGAAGAAACAGAGGTGACTGAAGTTGATGAACCAATTTATCATGATTATAAATTAGGGTAAGTGTATTTGTTTTCATTTTGCAAAAATAATTACCTTTTTTTTACTTAATTAGTTTTTAGTTAACATAATCCTTAGTAATCCTAAGTTGTTTAACTGTTATAACACTTGAAACAGGGACTGGGTAACTCACACTTTGTTCACGACGCCTTCTTATTATATATATCAATTTGAACTTTAGGCACATTTGAAAATACAACATATTTATTTGACATGCACATTACGATGAATATAGGGCCAATCAAGATGGTGAATTTTTCGAAAGTTCTTTTTATTTTAGTGACATACGAAAGTACACTGAAGAATCTGAAGGGACATCTTCAGATACAATAAGGACACAACACCAAGCAGATTCACTTGAACCACTGATGCCACCTGCTCCTACACTTGCGAATCAACAACATGGTGAATGTATCCCAGTGTCTTCTGTTGTGGAAGTGAATTCTTTGAAGGAAATGTTTCCAACTATTAGCACTGAGAGCATTACACAAGCTCTGCACAAAAATAATGGAGATATTCAGAAAGTTGTTAACATTCTCCTTCGAGATAATGATACAGGTTTGGTGTTTATCAGAAGCACATTTCTCATTGCAGCACAGGGAATTAACATCCAATTTCACATATTGACACATTTTATGCCTTCTGGGGGAAAGCAAATTTTGTTCATTCTATATATTTTCCACCAAATACAAAATAAAACTGACTTTGATAACAGCTGTGCTTCTGTTTGAAATTCCACCATAATGCTATACAATTGTGTAACTGAAACCCTCTCATTCCACTCTAAGAGATATTTGCTAATTGCTTTTTTACCCAGCTGATGATGGAGAAAGTTCCAGTGACGATTTCTTGGAAAAATGTGCGTGGGATACACCATTAGAAGAAAATTTTGCAAAAACAGCACTGCAAAAGTTTGTGGAAGAAGGTTTACAAACATTCCATGTGGATATGGATGTGCATGTGAAAAGAGACACTGACATTCTTACTCAAATGATCAGAAAGTACAAGAATCCAGCATTCGACATAAGAAAACCTCTCAATGTCGAGTTTCAAGATCAATTTGGAGTAGATAGTGGAGGGCCTACTAGAGAGTTATTCTCCCTGTTGATGAAGAGACTGGCTAAGTACCACTCCGATGGTTTAAATCTATTTGAAGGCTTGCAAGGACATTTATTGCCCCGACATGACTATGATCTGCTGTCAGGGGGTGTATTTTTTTTATTGGGAAAGATGATACTTCATTCAGTATTGAATGGTTGCTGTGGTGTTGCAGGTTTATCTCCTGCGGTTATTGCATACCTTTGTACAGGTAGACGTGATGCTGCTGTTCAATACCTCACACTCGAGGATTTTCCAGATCCTGTTGTGAAAAATAACTTTGAAGAGGTTTGTATAATTAGGCTACTACTTATGTAGTTGCTAATTATTGTTAGAGTTGACACCACCTCCAACAACCCATTCTCCCCGACATATTCCCATCATATATTGAAATATTCTGTTGTCTTACATTTCTGACGATCTCTTTTAGCTCTTGTCTTGTAACAGTAGCAAATTGGCAGAGTTCACCCTTCCAGACTCCCCAGTTTGTATAAATGAAGAACTTCAAGCAGCTGGCTATTTGCACTTGGAAGTGAATGAACAGCAAAGACATTTGGCTTATGAATGTTGCCTGACTCACGAGGTCATAACAAAGAGAGTACCTGCATTGGATGATATCAGAAAGGGGCTTAGAGAAATTAATGTGGCAGGCACAAATCTGCTGTGTCTTCTAGAAAGATACCCAGAATTACAGAGACGGGTTTTTCCTACATATTCAAATGATGTATCTGCCCATGAGCTCAAAATGCATTTACAGTTCTGTGATCCAACTGATGAGAAATGTGTTCAGGCACGGATGTGGTTTGAGCAATACATTGATGAACTGGATGAAAAAGGTGAGAGTTTCGTTGTAAGTAGTCCAACATGCATTAGTAGATTTGGTGAGTTGAATTTAGCCAGTTGACTAAAATTTCCTGTTTAAAATTATTTTCATTTCTTGAGCCTAAAATGCTATACTATTTATAAATATGCTTAAATTTGTATGTAGAAAGAGCCAGTGACCAGGAGACTCTAAGCGATTTGGTGCAATTCTGGACAAGTTCCCCTGCATTACCATCGGCAGCTTCACAAAAGTTAACAGTGGCCTACCAACCAGATTGTACCACCAAATTGTTACCTGAAGCAAATACTTGCCCTATGGTCTTATCAATCCCAGTGGTTCATTCCAGCTACGAAAGTTTTAAAAAATTTATTGACAAGGCAGTGTCATTTGCAAAAGTAGGTTTTGGGAAAATGTAATCAAATAGTTTGGATGTTGTTGATGTTTATGGGGTTGCTTTAAAATTTATTTTGCATATCAAGTTTTGATGTGTTACATAAAAATTTACTGGAAGTTGATGTTTGTTTGGGTTTTAGAAATTGTGATCAGCAGCACTGGCAGTAATTTGGATGCTAATTGTTATTTTTTGTGTGATATTTATATTGCAAACAAAAAGAATGTTGACTTTTAATTGCTGCATAAAGTATTAAACAATTAAGACAATTACTAAGAGTGTAATGACAGGAATATATGAGGCATTAAAGTAAATCTAAAATGTCTACACTGCTTCTTGGGGGAAGCCCAAGAGGGATAATATACAAACAATGAGTGTCACATTTTCATCTTTGATCATAAAAATTTACCTGACTAGGCTTAGCTTAGGGGTTGATAATCAGGCAATTTCAGAGTTGAAATTTCAGTTCAGCGATAAAGTATAGTGGAAAATTTGGAAAGGCTAATTTCTAAAAACCCGAACACTTTGAAAATACTTGCATGTATAACTGAATCTGCTAAGTCTTATTGAAGTCTTATTGCAGTTTCCAGTCTTAACTTCTGGGCTCACCTATGAGGATAGCAGCCAAATATAGGTTTATACCATGGTTACCATCATCGGACAATGGAATAACACGGTCTTGCAGTTCTTGAAAATGTTCTTGGGTGGGTTCAAAGTTGACCTCTGGAACTTCCACATAATTATCAGTGTCACCACCAACTGGGGGTCCACCACCAATCCCATAATCATTCCAGTCCTCCTGGGCTGCAAAGATACTATCAACAGCACGATAATCAGAGTTGGTAACTGCATTGATTCCAGAGTGCCATAACTGTAGTGGAGAACGATTTCCGGCAGTGCTCAAAGGATGATTATTCCAGACATTTACTAATTCGCGCAGAGACCGGTTTATCCGTGGCAAGAACACATAATGCAACATGAACAAGTCGTGTTCACTGTCGGGTTTAAGTAGGTTGCATTGTTCAAGGTAGTAAAATATGTTACGATAGTAAGTAACCACATTCATTTTCACATCCAACCAGAGGCGCTCAATCCTCTGGTTGTGAACACTCTTTCCTGTGATCATACTCCCTCGGTTAGGCCCTCTATCAGGGTGATGCAACATGTACCTTGCTATATCCACATTCTCAGTGCCCATGTCTGACCTAACACGAGATGGTAAGCCAAAATGTTCAACAGCATTTACAAACAATGATGCCACTGTGTCTGCCCTATTATTGGTATTGCAACATAAATAAACTATGCAGCGGCTAAATCCATCGATTCCTCCATGTATGACCAATCTCCAGCGAATAAGTTTATGATGGCCGTCAACATGCCTAAATAAGAATAGCAAAGTTAACGAAAATTGGTATTTATTGTGTGATTGAAGTTCAATTAGCTTATTGCATTTTCCACTGTGAGCTCAAATTATCATCAGAGTGTAATCAGCAAGTTAAAATCCTTCCTTCAAACTCAATGGTGGTGGAGAAAAAACATACCATAGGGCATTTGGACAAGGAACATTGTAGGTTCTCCTGGTCACAGCTTGTTGGCGCCTCAATGCCCGACTAACTGGATCAACAGTGTAGATAGCTTCTCTAATTCGCCTTCTTTGCACAAAAATTCCTCGGCTTCTTAAAGCCCCTATCATGTAGGTTTCGCCAGCATGAGGTAGTAATTGTAAGACTTGTCTAACATGGTCACACACAAATGTTCCTGAGAAATTTCAGAGAAAGAGTTTCTTGGACCCCGAGTTTCAGCCACAGGCAGCTGATACTGGTGACGTCTTCGTAAAATTGTTCCGGTAAGAAACGCCTGCCTCCCTTGCAACCTCTACCCACGATCGATGAATGTCATACAAACCAGAAATCACTCTTTGGGGCACTTGAAATCTTGGTCTTCCGGCATGTTCAGATCGTTCGACAGGGCACACAAACCCTAGTTCCGAGTGGTAATCTCTATGCTGAAAACAAAGCTGCTGTATATTTTCATGTAAACAATTCACTTCATGATGAACACTTAGCAAAAGCTCAACCAACTCTTCGTTGGCTCTCGTTTGTGAACATTGATCGATGACGGCTTTAATAACATGGATGTGATCATCTAGTCGTCTTTCAAAATATTCTAAAACATTGACATCATTGCAATAAAGATTCCGCAAAGCCTGGTTAAAAATTGAAGGAATATCCTCACGAAATATCTTGTATAAATCCACTATACCATCCGCCATTTTTTAAAGAAGATATAGTACTTGAAAGTTGAAATTGATTGACAGGTAATCCGCTGAGCCAAAAAGCTGGCTCAATAATAGCCGTAAATATTTTTTTGATAGCCGTAAATATATTTTTGATAGCCGTAAATATATTTTTGATAGCCGTACATATATTTTTGATAGCCGTAAATATATTTTTAGCTATAAATAATGGTGTTTTAATATAACGTTGTTTGAGTAGCCGTAAATATTTTAGCAGTATAATATTGTCATGTTTGGCACCTCATAACCGTGTAACAGGGCCTGAAGCATCAGTTGATATTTACTCGCTATTTACTCGTTGATATTTACTATAGCAGCCTGTCGTTTCACATTGAATACAAAATAGGTTTATCGCAGTTAATGTTTACGGCTACCCACATGTACGCATTGCGTACCTATTTTTTCTATGTGCTAACCGATATTATTCCACTGTATTTTGTGTGTTTAAAAGTTCGAATAATAAATGTAACTGTGTGAAAAAACCAACTCCGGTAAATGTACTCAAGCGCATTTATGATGTTCTAAAGATTTACAAAATGGCGTTGTCCCACGCTAGCCCGCTCGCGGCTTTCTTTGATCAGCGAGTCATATTTCAAAATGTATTTGCCAAAGACAATAATTTTGATTTATTTTTGCTTGAAAGGCTTTTAAACATGCATAATAGCCAGGGAGTAAAATGCTTTTCGCATCAAAATAAAGCTCGGGTTTTATATATTTGTTCTATTTTGCGATGTATTTCGCTTTTAAATACTGATAAGAAATGTAAAAACCTTTAGAATTGACATGACGTTTTCGGAATTATTCGTTAAATAAATCTGGCTTTGCCTTTTGAGAAATATAATGTGTGATTTTACATTTAATTTGATGGAAAATGTAGTGAAATATGGAGTTACGTGTAATACTGCAATTTGCAATCGAACGCGCCGTGCGCCAAATTTTTTGGCGTTGTTTACACTTGTCAACGTAACGTTGACATGTCATGAACGTTATGTTGACCTACTGTGAACGTTACGTTGATATATACTAATAAGTATTACTAATGTAACTTCTTGTTAATGCGTATTCCCCCGCTATTTGTGGTGCCGAACATGCCAAGCACAGAATTGTTATAACGTTTGTAACCGTCTGCCACATGGCTAATGCTACGTATTATTTACCGATAATGTAATGAAGAACCTATGGTAGCCACGTACTGTTTGATTTTTACTGCCTTCGCTGTAAACCCTTTTTCAAAATACCCACAAGCCTTACTAATTATTTTTCTAATAAAATTTGCACTAATGAGTCTTTTACAATTTAAAATACGGCAAACTCAGCAAACTAACGGTGGCGTATCGCTATAAATAAGTATAATTTTTCAAGCAACAGCAAAGCAATCTGGTTGGCTTGCATAAATCCTGTAAATGATCTAGGCTCCGAACCGATTCCAAGTTTTAATACTAGGTCAACGTAAAGTTCACGGCAGGCAAACGTACCGTTGACAAATGTTTACAACGTCAAAAATTCGGCGCGCAGCGCGCTTGATTGCAAATAGCAGTAAATGAAATAGACATCTTTGTCATTGAAATTATCATATCTACTGAGAAATTGACATTGTTTAGCACAATTAGCCACAAGTAATATGGAGATTCACTGCACCTTAAAAGCTGTAGTTGGTGGCAATTGTGGCCACGGTCCAAGAGATCGTCAAAAATCACACAGTGTGATCCCCATTCATGCATGTCAGAAGGACATTTCTAATCATGAGCGCACTTTCAAGTTTTTTGGACACGACAACGAAGTAGATTTAATTTTGAGCAGAGCGGGTTTGTTCGCAAGACCTAAAGACATCGAAACGTGGACAATTTGCCCACTTCATCGCGCTCAGTTAGGTCTAGGTTGGACAAGGAGGACTGCTGATAGGTGCAGAGTACCTGTGGCAATATCAAACCATGGCAAAGACAAAAGAAAATGGCCGAAGGCGGAGAGGGGACTAAGTAAAACAGAAGCTCGGCTTATTTTGAAGAAAATTGGCATGTTGGTGCAAGTTGGATCAGGTATATTTGAATAATATTATCTGATCCAAATATACCCTGATATTATGTAGCATTATGAATATTGTGTAATCCATGAAGGGAATATTATGTAATCCATAAAGTCAGATTAATTCGTTGTGTATTCCTCCTAAATTTAGGTATATGTGTGAACTGTAGAAAGATTTTGAAAGGAGTAGAAGACAACATTCAAGAAACAGAAGTCGCCAAAGAACTGAAACACATGACCATGGTACATATATAATTGAATAAATAAAAACAAATGAGTACATTAGTGAAAAAAAACTATGAAGAGGTGTAAACGGAAGAAGACTGTGAATAGATGTGCAGATGATTGCGTAATTGAGCATATATAAAGCAAGCACATTCGCTTGATTGGTTGATAAGCTGCTTATTTTTGTTAGTTCTGTTGTGTTGTAAGTTCAAATGAAATTGATAAAACCTCGAAAATGTAAGACGTAAGCAATTTAAAACATTAAAATGTCTCCGATATGCCATAAACCGCTCTTTTATGGGGCATTTTAGCTTTGGTACACGCACGTAAAAAACAGATCATTTTTGGATTGCTCCAATTTTAGGATGACCAGGATAAAGATGTCTCACGTGCAACTGCATTCACAAGCTACATTGAATCTGAATATGAAAATGACAATCGTGCACCATACACTCCAGCTTATGAACAAGATGTATCTTTAGGTACAAGAACCCCTAAAAGCATGTATCGGCCCAGCGAAGAATCAATGACGTCTTTTCTTTGTGTTGAAAAATCTCCAAGGGAAAAGCTGAACAAATATCTTAGTTCCAGAGATGTAAGCCCGATTCGAAACACTCTATTAACACCATGGCATATAGCATCTGATCGAACCAAACGACTTCACCTGAGAAAAGCGCATCAAGTAGTCCACACATGCCTTGAGGAAATCGCGCCTGGTGAATCAGCCGAGCTATTCCGAAACTTGCATAAAAGATTTGAAACTGGGTCTAACGTTGATTGTTCGTTAATGGAAGCACTACTGGAGTGTTATAATAATGCAGGACATTGGAGTTCTCGTTGGCAAATATTATCTATAATGGCTGATAAAGTAAGCTTTAAAGATTTGTTGAGGTGGATACCAAGTTTAACTAAATATCTTTATGACATTGCCAAACATCATACATTACTACATGGCCGTGGTGCAGCAACACCAACTATGAACAACACAAGGATGTGTGTAAAAGAGGTAAAACTAGACCATTTCTTTTCATTCATTACCAGCACGCACATAATACAGGATTTGCTATTTGGTGAGAAGACACTCAAACTTTCGTCGCATGCAGAGTTAAAGATCCCGAATGTTGTTCGATCTCAGATACCAGAACACATAGTCCGGCAGTATTAAGGCTACTGTAAAGACGTAGGATTTGTACCAATGAGCCGCAGCACCTTATTGAGAGTGCTGAATGTTTGCTCAGCATCTACTCGCAAATCACTCCAAGGATTAGATTATTTCTCTGCGTCTGGCGCGGAAGCCTTCGATCAGCTACAAAAAGTTGTTGATAAACTAGTAGATGAGTGTGGAAAGAGCCTCACATGGGGAAAGAATGTCGACGAGAAATTGAAGAATGCTAAGCGATATCTCAAAGGAGATTACAAGGTAATGTGCTACAAAGTAAAATTATGGGAACGTAATTTTTGGGAACTTACAAGAAAGTTGCTTTAAAGGTTTATTTTTTTATAATAAGAGTATATGTAAATGTGGTATTTTTTTCTTTCTAAACTTACAGGTTCACATTGCAAAGAGCTCAATAGTTGCAGATCACTGTAGAACATATGCACTTAGTGATTCCAGTGATAAAAATTTTTACAGTAAGTGTGACCATGAGCACAAAATGCAGTGCGATAGATGCAACCTGTTTACTGACGCTATCAATGATATAGAAGCTAGTCTTTTGAACGCCCACTGTACAACGGAACAAAGAGAAGAAATAGAGTACATCATCACGAGTTGTAAAACAAGCATCGAAGCGTGGAAAGCGCACTTACTTAGAGATGCAAACCAGGATTTTGCGAGACAAGAAACCCTCGAGAGTTTAGATGAAAATTCTGTTTTACTAGTTTCTGACTGGGCAATGAAATATGTTCCGAAAAAGTTCCGCGAAAGCCAAAGAGACTGGTTTGGAAAGAGGGGGATATCATGGCATTTGTCAGTAGCCATAAGAAAATGTGCAAACGGCGAAATACAAATGCTAACATTTACCCACAGCATTCAAAGTTGTAGTCAAGAAAGCCCTGCTGTTTTGGCAGTTTTCAATGATGTACTCAAATGTCTAAAAAATGTGAACCCAGACGTAGGAAATGTGTATCTTAAGCAAGACAACGCTGGATGTTATCATTCAGCA